ACAGTAAAATTCTGCATATATATATATATATATATATATATTATTTTGTTGCCAAGTCATATTTTACACTGATGGTACTAATGGCCCACAGTAAAGTGTCGCATTAACTAATGTTAGGAGTTGACAAACCTGCTGTCATTAGTTTTTAAAGGGGTCATATTATGCTTTTTTAAAGATCATTATTTTCATCATATGACCCCTTTAAATGTCAGTGTACGTTTAATCAGTGTAACGTATTATTCACAACCAGCAAGTCACTGTTCTTCTCTAGTTGTGTCGTTGACAACTAAACAAACTGGTCTTAATGGAGACTTAAATGGTTCAAGGATGTGTTTCTCTAGAATCAATCACAGGACAAAATAAACACTCGCTGTGTCCAGAAACCAACCCAGAGAGGAGTTAGTGCCCCTCTTAGACACCTGCGTGGAAGTTCAGTGTCGTGTCAAGCAAGAAAAGTTGCTCGGACGTGTAAATGCCACTCTTTTCGGAAACTCACCGTCCGTATGTGCTTCCTGAGGATGTATAAGAAGAAGCTCCATATTCTGGAGGTCACGCCGAGGAAAGTGCGCACACCGAGCAGACACTGGCGCGTCTTTAGCATGTCAACCATACTTTCTTCAAATGCTCGTCGGCTAAGATGGTCAAACCGACTGGAGTGTCGAGCAAACGTCTCCGTGCTGCCGAAAGCCGAGAGAAGCGCGACCGTCCATCCGCTGCGGCATTAAAAGCACCGTGCGCTTTGCGCCTCTTTCGGAGAGCCTTTGGAGAAAGCGAAAAGAAAACGCGTAGTTTCTCACCTCTGGCAACAGTTTAAAGCCAATACGGTAGAGCAGCACAGACCGCCATTGCTTCCCTGACGTCTTCTTCTTCTGATGTTTATTGGCGGTTTTGGCAAACCAACTTAAAGGTGCATTACCGCCACCTACTGATCTGTGGAGTGAACAGATTTGGTAGAGAGAAGGATATATATTACATTAAAAAACAAACAAAAAAAATTATATTTTATATATATATACCACAATTACAATTTATATTCTTTCCATATTTCCTGTCTTTTTTAGATAATTGAACACTTCTTCTTTAATTCTTGATTGCGTTTGTCTATCCCCTAGTAATATCTTGAGTGATACTTTATCATGTCCCATCAAACCTAATTTATGATTAAGTTGATTTCTTTCTCTTTCATACGCATCGCATTCTAGAAGAATGTGCTTTACTGTTTCTGGGTCACCATGGCGACAGCAGAGCTGTCAATCAATAAATTGAAAAAAAAAAAGACTTATTTGAAAAAGTAACTCAGATATTCTCTTGTAAATGAAAAAGTAATGCGTTACTTTACTAGTTACTTGAAAAAAGTAATCTGATTACGTAACTCGCGTTACTTGTAATATATTACCCCTAACACTGAATATATGTAATGTTTCGTGATGCAAACTTCGTGAAGGAACTGCAGGGGTTTCACGAGTTTAATAAAAAGCTAATAATTAAATCATAAAAATTTAAAATTAAAATAAATCATTTTAAAATAACAACAATCCAAATAAAACACTAAAAAATGTTTACCTGCATGTCACATGTGACCATTAACCAATGCCAGAGATCCGTGAATATGCAAATGTGTTACTTGGTTATTAACTTATTACCTTAAAATCTCAGGGGGGACTTCAAATAAATATATTAGGTGAAAGAGATTTGGCTGACAAAAAAAAAAGTTTGGGAATGCCTACATTGCATGTAAATAAGAATAATGTGAATTTGTGCATTTTAATGTGTTTAAAAAGCCTTCCAAAGATATAGTAATACATGGTTAAATAACCTACTGAGTGAGTGATAATACAAATACAAATTAATGTGTTCATCAGTAGTTGATGCAATGTTGAGAGATTAAAATTAAAATGATTTTTGTAAATCTAGTGGTCAAATGATGTGAGGCCTATCAGGTTTCGGTGTAATTACAGACACTTGACGAGTCTCTATGTGAATGTCCACAAAACTGGAAGACTTTCTGAGTGTATATAAGCGGTAGGCTATTTTAGAAAGGAACATTTAAAAGATAAAAAAGAGGAATTAGGGAGAATCAATAAATTATGAATAATTTATTGCTGGTGTGTGAACAATATGTAATCAAGTAATCAATAAAAAAGTAACTGTAGTCTAATTACGAGCATTGTAAAATGTAATTTAATCTAATTACAAGTACTTTATTTTTGTAATCTGATTATGTAATCCAGATTACATGTAATCAGTAACTAACAAGCTCTGCGAATCAGTATTTATACAGCGCACAGTTTTTCTGGTCATTTAATTTCTTTCACTGAATACAGTGGTGGTTGTCTGATCATGAAAATTATTAGGGTAAAAATAAATCAATCAATATTAAATTCCCCTTAAGAAAACACATCAGATTTGGGGTAGTGATGGGATTTTGATTCATCTCGATGACTCAAATCTTCTGAATTCGTTCACCAAAAAGATTCGTTCAGTAGACCTTTCTCCTCTTACGTCGTTACGGCAGTAGTTGGCGACAAGTGAGTGTCTTTTTATGTTATCTTGCCCAGAAATCACTTTCAAACCGAGCAGTAGGGCTGCACAATTAATCGAACTTCTAATCGCGATTACAATTACGGATGCCACAATTACGTAATCGTTCAAATCGGCAATTAATCGTTCAAAGTCCACTTATGTTATTCTACGCGCTTAAGATGCGTTTTTTTTTCTTTCTACGTTATCTTAAGGGTTTTTCCCGTTATTTTAATTTTAGTTTTAGTATAACATTATAATAAAATTCATATTTTTACTTTTTTATAATTTAAAGAAGAAACAAATCCGATGTATAGTTGACATTTAAGGCTTAATACTATATAAAAGCACTAAACGTTTTTCAGTTAGAGTGTTTTCAGCTTGTTTATTTTCATATAAAAATACGGCATGCAGTTGCATCAAAAAATGGTATAAACATTATTCAATGTAAATTGTGATAATCGTAATTAATAATCGCAATTACAATTTCAAGGGAATAATCGACAATTATGATTTTTGTCGTAATCGTGCAGCCGAGCAGCTTTCTGTTGGTCAGTGCGGTGAATGTGCATTACCAATTGGAAAATTAGCAAAATGTACGTCCATTTACGTGGATTCCTATTAAAATGACTGAATTTCGTCCACAAAAATTCAACGAACCAGTGATGATTCGACCATAAGACTCAAATCTTTCGAATTTGTTCACCAAAAAGATTCGTTTAGTAGCCCTTACTGCATGTTACACCAGTAATTGCCGACAAGTGAATCTTTTTCTGTGTTATAAGTTATTCACTTGTTGTTCCAAAGAAGAGTATCTTACAGCACCAAAGATATTTTGAAGAATGTTGGCAACCAAACAATTGACGGTAGCCATTGACTTCCATAGTATTTTTTCCCTATCCTGTGTAAGTCAATGGCTGCCGTCAAATGTTAGGTTGCCAACATTCTTCAAAATACTTTCTTTTGTGCTCAATAGAAGAAAGAAACTCGGAAAGGTTTGGAACAACTTGAGGGTGAGTAATGACAGAATTTTCATTTTTGTGTGAACTATCCCTTTAAGTCAGTGAAAACTTGGAATTGTGTGTATATTTGACTTTCAATATAAATTTTATTGATCATTTATTGTAATATATTTAGTTTGGAGCATCATGTCTAATCTCACATGGGATAAGATTTGTGGAGCTTACAAAATTAGCTTAGTAGTAAGTCAATAATAATCATAATCAAGCATTTATTCTTAAAATATTTTCAAGTGAGTGCTTTATTTATCCACCAATTTTCCTACCAATACAAAAACTGCATAACATTACGAAGAGCATTGGTTCATCGATTCATATCCGTCATAACATTCTCAAACCTGGCCTTGTAATAGTTGATAGACAACAGACAGCCGCAGACTATATGATTCATAATAATATAAATAAATATATTTATGAAGATGGTTATGACATTCACAGATTTAGGTCATGATGTGGGCTGTCTTCATTCACACATCAAGATCATCATCTGGATCCTCCTCGTCAAAGTCGTCGTTGGCATCGGGCTCGTACACGATCCTCCCGGAGCCAGGAGTCGGCTTCAGAAGAGCTGATTTTCTGCGGATTGCAGCATGAAAGACTCGGTTTCTCAGACGTGAAAATCAGTTTGGCAAAAAGCAATTATTTTTAAAATAACTTCTGATCTTTTAGATAAAATAAGCATTATATATAAACTAATTATTTACAACCAGTGTTGCTATTGTTGACTAAATCTAAACGTATTAAAAAAAAATTTCATTACCTGAAATAAAGTGAAATCAAATCGAAATGTTACATACAATTAAATACAATCATTATTAAAATGAAATATTAAAAACTTAAACTTAAGTAATTAGAAAGGTTGCCCTGGCAACTAACTGAAATAAAAGAAAAACTTAAATAAAAATAAAGTACTAAAATTCTTAAAACTGAAATAAATTTAAAGCTAAATAGAAAAATTTTAAAGCAAAAGCTAAAAAAAAAAAGACAAAATCATAGAAAACTACAAAAGCTTCAACTAAAATTAAAATGAAAACTGAAAAGAAAAAAAGAAAAGCTAAAGTGATATAAATGTGATAGAAAAGCAAAATATGAATAAAAACTATAAGAGTAAATAATACTAAAACAACACTGTTTATAACAGTTGGGGTCTAAAATTGAAATAAAATTAAAGCTAAACAGAAATATAAAAAAACTACATCTAATAAAAATGGCAAAAGCACATCAAATTACTAAAATGTTAACTAAAATTAAAAAAAGAAAGAAAAGCAAATTCTAATTATTAATAGAAACTATAATAGTATATCAATAATACTAAAACAACACTGTTTACAACAACTGAGGTCTATAATGAAATAAAAGCTAAGCTGAAATATTAAAAAAAACTCAAACTAATTAAAAAAAATGACAAAGCACATAAAATTACTAAAATTTCAACTAAAATTAAAATACTATAATAATATATCAATAATACTAAAACAACACTGTTTACAACAATTGGGGTCTAAAATGAAATAAAAGCTAAACTGAACTAAAACTAATAAAAAAAATGACAAAAGTACATAAAATTACGAAAATTTCAACTAAAATTAAAAAGAAAAAAAGTAAAAAAAGAAAAATAATTCAAAATATTAATAAAAACTATAATAGTATATAAATTATACTAAAACATCACTGTTTAGGAGAATTGAGGTCTCTTACTTTTCTTGGCTAAATACAAACGGCAGTGCCACTTTCTGCTTGGCTTTTCTCTCCTCCTCAGACAGACGCAGATTGAAAGTCAAGTTTGATGTTGGATCAGCCTGATCAGATCACAATAAAAGACAAACAGTTACAACGCAAAACCTCCAGCTAAAGGTGCTCGGAAAACCAAAGCGGCTTTGCTCACCTCAGACACATCTCGCTCTTTCTGTGCATGTCCAGGCTGACGTGGTTTGGCCTGTACTGAAAGAGTTGCGTCCACGGACACACTGAAATACTCTTCCTATAAATTAATTTCACAGATAATCAGTTTTATAATCTCATGTTTATTCAGACTAAATCCTCATGTCTTACCTCTTGCATGACTTTGCCTGACTTTGTGCGTCTTGTGGTCTTTGCCACAGAATGGCGTTCATTGTCTGCAGGTGCCACAGAGATAACCGTACTGGCCAAGTGGCACACAATACCCACAATGCCTTGCTGATGCAAGTCTGAATGCAGGAGGCCGATGATAGTTTTAATAACTCCTCCTAGAGGTCAGTGGAAAACACAAACAAGAGCATTAGTTTTCCTAGATCGTACATGTCAAGCCAGTGTTTATAGATTCTGGGGCAAAATGTTTCACCTTTCCTGAGCTCTTGAAGTGTCTGGCAGAAGACAACAGGGTCATGATGTCTTAAAACCATCGAGAGAGAGTCAGCGACAAGTACTGCTGCTTTGGCATGCTGTGTGTCTTTGATGATCTGAGTTATGTGTTGAGAAGCGAACCGCTCGACGGTGAAAGACGATCTGCGCGTCCAGCCGAGGGGATCGGGGAAACCCTTATGAAAATGAAGCCTTTAAACAGATCAGATAAAGCACTTGCATCAACTATAGTTGTTCTCAAAAAGTGTTCAGTGACCCCAGAATAGGCTGCAGGGAAAAAATGGTAAATGCAAATAATAATAATGAAGTAACTTACCATATTGTACACAGTTAGGGTACATACATAGTTAAGGTAGCAAAACAACCAGGATTATAAACTTAAAAAATGTGCATATTTTGGCCTATATTATTCAGTCACTTGATAATATGACTAATATTAATAAACTATAGCTAAAATCGAATACTTTTTCTATTTAAGCCAAAGGAAAACAAAAAATCAATCTGTCACTAGATACTAAAGCTAGTATTAATGAAATATTAATCATTTATATTTACAAAAGTGTACTAAATTTGCAAAATTCATGTGAACAAACAACAGGGAAAATAATGGTAATTGCAAATAATAAAAAGTAACTAACTTTACTGTACACAGTTAGGGGAACAAAACAACCAGGATTATCAACTACTTATTCAGTCAGTTCATAATATGGCTAATATTAATAAAATAACAATACTTTTGCTGTTGTTTATGCACTAGAATGCATAGATATATGTTAATAAAAAAGCAGGGAAATACACAATGGTAAATGCAAATAATAAAACGTTTCAAAATAACCAGGCTGTGCACATTTTGGCACAAATTAATCAACTTCATATTTTGGCACATATTCTTCGGATCCTATGGCTAATATTAATACAACATAATACTTCTGCTGTTGATTGCATACTTACAAAATGTATATTAATAAAGCAGGGGAACCAATGATAAATGCACATAATAAAAAGTAACTAACAATATCGTACATGGTCATGGTAGCAATTTAGCAAAACAACCAGATTTATCAATTTATATCAAAGGCTGTGCATATTTTGTCACAAATTAATCTGTCACTTGATACAATGGCTGATATGAATAAAATATAATACTTTTGCTGTTGTTTATGCACTTACAAAGGTTATGTTAATAAACACAAATGAAAAATAATGGCAAATGTAAATAATAAAAAGTAACTAGTAATATTGTGCATAGCTAAGGAAGGAAAATAACCAACAGGCTTGTTGTGCATATTGTCAAACATTCTTCAGTCACTTGATATTATGGCTAATTTTAATAAAATATAATACTTCTGCTGTTGTTTAACAAAATTAATGTTATTACTTAAAACAAACAAAAAAAAGTTTACTTCTGCATGATGAACTGTTTTGGTGTGGTGTTATATCACCCGATGTCCAATGTAAAACCAGAGTCCTGAAGCAAAACCAGTAGTGCACTATAATATTTATTTAACGATTTTGAATTTTGAAGTGCATCCTAAATCGCAGACTGTCAGTATAATTTAAATGTCATAGTCATACATGTGATGCATGAGCATTCAGGTGTCACCATAGTATCCATAAATAAAGCATGTCTCAATCACAAATCAAGAGTAGCCTATTTTGATTGACCTCACCTCTGCATGCAGCTGCTGTCCAAACCAGCACACACTTCTGTTTCAGGACTCTCAAACCCCAGCACATGGACGTCCTCGCCCCTTTCAAAGATTAAAACACAAATCAAACATCACACAAAGTGTAGCGACATAATGAAAGTCAATTACAACACAGCAGACGCAGACAGCAACTTGCCTCTTCAATGCTGCATTAATAAAACACCCGAGGAGTCCGCGCCCGGAGCACTGCACAGTATCTGAAAACATATCATGAACACATGCAGCGCTGGAGAAAGGTACAGATGCGGTAGGAGTTATTGATGAGACTCACGAGATGATGCTACCTTCAATGAGTATGAATCCTCCTCCAGCCTGTATCACATCCAGCAGCAGCATGACTCAGATCAGCTCACTTTAAGAAGTGCAACATGATGAAATATGACAGACCCAAAATGCCTGGTTATATACAAGAGTTATGGTATATTTCACGATCAACACGAGTATGATTACAGTGAATACTCAATTTCCCAAAAGCACTGCGGCCATTAGAACAGCGGACTGCCTTCTTCTTCTTCTTCTTCTTCTTCTTCTTCTTCTTCTTCTTGATGGTATGGCTGTTTGCAAACTGTTTGCAATGCATCACCGCCACCTATTGTGCTGTAGGTGCTGTAGGTGTTATGTTATGTTATGTTATGTTATGTTATGTTATGTTATGTTATGTTATGTTATGTTATGTTATGTTATACACATTTATTCCACTTCCAGGGGGCAAATATTGCCCAATAATGGAAAAATAATATTTGTTTCTTTCACGATCAACACGAGTAACACGAGTATGAATACTCAATTTCCCAAAAGCACTGCGGCCATTAGAACAGCGGACTGCCTTCTTCTTCTTCTTCTTCTTCTTCTTCTTCTTCTTGATGGTATGGCTGTTTGCAAACTGTTTGCAATGCATCACCGCCACCTATTGTGCTGTAGTATGAACAGGTGTTATGTTATGTTATGTTATGTTATGTTATGTTATGTTATGTTATGTTATGTTATGTTATGTTATATGTTATGTTTATGTTATGTTATATGTTATGTTATGTTATGCTATGCTATGCTATGTTAGGTTAGGTTATGTTATATTATGTTAGGTTAGGTTATGTTATGCTATGCTATGCTATGCTATGCTATGCTATGTTAGGTTACGTTGTATTATATTATATTATATTACATTATGTTATATTATATTGTTACATGTTATGCTATGTTAGGTTAGGTTTTGTTGTATTATATTATATTACATTGTTATATTATAATGTTACATGTTGTGTGTTATGTTATATTACATTATGTTATATTGTATTGTTACATTATATTATGTTATGTTATGTTATGTTATGTTAGGTTAGGTTACGTTGTATTATATTATATTACATTATGTCATATTATATTGTTACATGTTATTTATGTTATGTTATGTTAGTTTAGGTTCTGTTGTATTACATTATATTACATTATGTTATATTATACTGTTACATGTTATGTTATGGTATGTTATGTTATATTACATTATGTTATATTGTATTGTTACATTATATTATGTTATGTTATGTTATGTTAGGTTAGGTTATATTATATTATATTATATTACATTATGTTATATTATATTGTTACATGTTATGTTATGTTATGTTATGTTAGGTTAGGTTAGGTTACGTTGTATTATATTATATTACATTATGTTATATTATATTGTTACATGTTATTTTATGTTATGTTGTGTTGTGTTAGGTTAGGTTAGGTTCTGTTGTATTACATTATATTACGTTATGTTATATTATATTGTTACATGTTATGTTATGTTATGTTAGGTTAGGTTATATTATATTATATTATATTACATTATGTTATATTGTATTGTTACATTATATTATGTTATGTTATGTTATGTTATGTTAGGTTAGGTTATATTATATTATATTATATTACATTATGTTATATTATATTGTTACGTGTTGTGTTGTGTTGTGTTGTGTTAGGTTAGGTTAGGTTCTGTTGTATTACATTATATTACATTATGTTATATTATATTGTTACATGTTATGTTATATTATGTTAGGTTATATTATATTATATTATATTATATTACATTATGTTATATTGTATTGTTACATTATATTATGTTATGTTATGTTATATTATATTGTGTTAGGTTATATTATATTATATTATATTACATTATGTTATATTGTATTGTTACATTATATTATGTTATGTTATGTTAGGTTAGGTTATGTTGTATTATATTATATTATATTGTTACATGTTATGTTATGTTATGTTATGTTATGTTATGTTATGTTATGTTATGTTAGGTTAGGTTACGTTGTATTATATTATATTACATTATGTCATATTATATTGTTACATGTTATTTATGTTATGTTATGTTAGTTTAGGTTCTGTTGTATTACATTATATTACATTATGTTATATTATACTGTTACATGTTATGTTATGGTATGTTATGTTATATTACATTATGTTATATTGTATTGTTACATTATATTATGTTATGTTATGTTATGTTAGGTTAGGTTATATTATATTATATTATATTACATTATGTTATATTGTATTGTTACATTATATTATGTTATGTTATGTTATGTTAGGTTAGGTTAGGTTAATCTGATTTATGTCTCATTAGCATTTCAGATGGGAGGGGTTTAGTTTCTTAGGGGGCGGAGTGGTGTATTATGACATGTTGGTTGACGGACGGGCCAGCTAATCAGCTCTGCTAGTATTCTAGAGACTCTAATCCACTGAACTCATTACTCATCATTCTGTGTTAGAGGTAAGCCTCACAAAGCCATGCGCCAGTAACCCTGTGCACTCGCCCATACCTCCCCTCAGGGTCAATGTCCACATCAGTGCGGATTGTTACATGTTATTTTATGTTATGTTATGTTAGGTTAGGTTCTGTTGTATTACATTATGTTATATTATATTGTTACATGTTATGTTATGTTATGTTAGGTTATATTATATTATATTATATTATATTATATTATATTACATTGTATTGTTACATTATATTATGTTATGTTATGTTATGTTATGTTATGTTATGTTATGTTAGGATATGATTACATTATGTTATATTATATTGTTACATGTTATGTTATGTTATGTTAGGTTATATTATATTATATTATATTATATTATATTACATTATGTTATATTGTATTGTTACATTATATTATGTAATGTTATGTTATATTATATTGTCCAAATAATCTGAGTTAAATCAAACTTGGCTGCAATTTTTGAAAAAGTGTTGATTGTTGTTATCCAACATAAGGGTTTTCTAATCAGGGTCAGGTTTGGAGTTAGTTTAGAGAAAACAAATAATGTAAAAACGTAAAAACAAATATTTTTTATAAATATGATTAAATAAAATAAATACATAAATTGTGAATAACAAAGTATAATAATATAAGAGTAAAATAAAGAAATTAATAAATAATAAAAATGTATTAAAAAATAGATGTAGGAAACAAACAGTATAGCAGTACAATATTATAATGAGTAGAAAAAAAGTAATAATGTAATGTAACAGAAACAAAACATTTTCCAAATATGATTTTACACATATTTATAAAAGAATTTTCACCCTTAAATTGGGTCTTTACACATTAAAATATATAGATGCTGTTTTAGTATTTTAGTATTTGGGGAGCCTGTGGCATCTAAAAGACTGAAAACCCCTTGCTTAACTCATTTGATCCCTTAACCATGATCCCTGTTGTTTTTAGCCTCTAAGTCTGAACATCTCGGTGCAGAGCAAGGATATTTTTATCTTAAAGGCAGTAAAGCCCTTTAAATGTCTGTCTCCTCGAGGCCCAACATAGTGACAGCTCAACATTGCCCTCTATCGATTTTATACAGAACACGGGAGGAAAACAAACAAACAAACAAACAAACAAACAAAAAAAAGTAGTGAAATAATTAAAAATTAACTCCTGTTCACTGAGTTTTGAAAAAAGAAAAATAACTCATATGTGACTGGTTTCCATATAAAATAAATATATAACATAATGTATTAATAAATTAATGTATATTATAGAATATATCATACATAAAATATATTTTATAAAACCCAGTAAAACAATAAACAGCCCATCCCTAAAAAAACTATCCCTAAAATGAGATGTTTCTGCAGAAGTGGACGGGATCGGCTCCTCCGTGACGTCATCAGCGCGCGACGCTGGGCTTCAGTCTGCTGGCCTCCGGAATGGGCAGATTTCACCAGCCCGTGTTTAACCACTGATTTATAGCACGAACTCCACCGAGAGTCTGTATTTTAGCACGTCGTCTACACGATGCCATGCGGAGGTGAGTGTTTTTGTCGCGGGCCGGTTGGAGAAGCGACTGTTTGAGTCTGTGGGAAGAGCGATTAGCCCGTTAGCGGCGCTCCGGAGGAAATCCCAGCCCCTCATTTACTCCTGTTTTAGTTTCAAACGCTTTGACGGACAAAATTAGGTTTAACGGACTAAAACGAACGCACTAAACTCTTTTATACAAACGAAGGGTTATGTTTCCCGTGTGAGATGTCTGGCTAGTGAGGTTACAGGCTTTAATAGCAGCTGGCTAACGCTCGAGTCTTCATGAAAACATCTCTGGTGTCTCTGCTTGTGCCACGATTCACTTCAGCGCGATGTCATTACTCACACTCACTGCTGACACCCAAAACACCTACATCTGCTTTATTGTGTTTTTAAACCGGTCTTATCAGTGCTCTTTAATGTTTTTCGCTTTTCTGTGTCAGTTTAATAGTGTCAGGACAAGGGCGAAGTTTCCGTTTCGTAGAAACTTTTCATGTTTGCATGCTATTCGGTGCCTTCTGTTTGTTCTGAAACTGGCCATTTAAAAAGAGGAATAGTATATTTAGAAGCTGGGAGATTCATTTTTATCCCCCTGGCATGTAGTGTCAGAAATCTACTGTTACTACGAGGCAAGTTTAAGACATTTTATGGGGGTATATTTGGTCTAATCGTATCAAAACAAAGTCTGTCGTGTATTTATGCGATACCTTAAATCAAAGCTGCACTAAACCCGTAAATAGATATGCTTAGATTGAAATATATCAAATTTTAGATATGCTTAGATTGAAATATACCAAATTTTAAATAACACACAAAAATGACAAATTTGCTGTTTTTAATATACAGGACATTGTGGCTCTCAATTTTGGTTATTTAATATTTTCTGATCTGGCAAACATGTGGACCACAGTACATGAGAACTAGTGTCTGTTTCTTTAAGAGAACATGGACAGAATTGGCTCACGCTTCTTCTGTTTCTGCACTTGAATGAGCATTTTCTTTCTCTTTATTAAATCTACCGTGTATGAATCACAGAAGCATCGTGGGCACGATACAGTTAGCCTGGAAGTAATGTATTTCGAGTGCTTTATCTTTTAGGTATAATTCTATTTACTGTTATGACTGTTGCTGCGCTTGTTTTTTTTCTTCTGAGATACAAGGTTAAATGGTATTATTTTATATAATATGCTTTAAAATCTTAAAAGGTTGTGGTATATTATAGTTGAT